CTTAACCGGTGAGGTGTATCTGGAGATGTTACAAAATGCAATTGAACCATTAATACTTGAAATTCTGGAGGATAATCCAGATGAATTCGGCAACTTGGAAATAACGTTTCAATAAGATGGTGCTCCTGCACCGTTACCTAGATGAGGAATATTGTGGTAGATGGATTGGACGACGAGGTACGCTAGAATGGCCAGCTCAGTCACCGGACGTCACACCATTAGATTTTTTCTGTGGGGATATTTGAAATCTAAAGTTTACGCTACAGCAACCGACAATATTGACATTTTAAAACAACGAATTGTTAAAGAATGTGAGGCAATTTCTTCCGATACATTTTAACGAGTACGGCAAGAGTTTAGAAATAGGATGTATTACTAGCAGGAAGTACATTGAGCACATTTTAAACACTTACTATAAGAACTGCTTGTTAAATATTTATCAATTAAATGAGAAGCTACAATTTTAGTATTTATTTAATTTATTCATCAAAATGAGCTTAAACTCAAACAAAATGATTATGACTGAATAGGTATTTTCAATATCTTTCAAACGAGGTATCACTTGCCATAAGGTTCCATTTAAAATAATCTGTCACAGTGGTGTTGTAACGTCATCTGTCACTATTACGTCACCTGTTATGACTAGTTGAGAAGCCTACGTCTGTTTATTACCTCCCTCCAAATTTCACTATTATAACAATAACCGTTCAAAAGATACGAAGGGGGGAACGGACTTTTGACTAGCACTGTATATATATATATATATATATATATATACATATATATAAATTGTGTAATATAATACAAATGTGTAAAAAAGCTTACTACAATGGATATTCTGAGATGTTGTATATAAACAATTAATTGAAACTAGATACAGTTTACAAATTAACAAACTTATCACAGCAAAAGACCATGTGATAATAATTGTACATGTATATAAAAAATTTATGTAAAATATTTTACATATTTATATACATGTACAATTATTTTATATACATGTACAATCACCACATGTTCTCTTGCTGTCCTAAGTTTGTTAATTTGTAAACTGTATCTAGTTTCAATTAATCGTTCATACAACATGATCTCAGAATGTCCATTGTAGTAAGCTTTTTTGCACATTTGAGATCATTGACTGCTACAAGTCTTTTTGAGGTAACACAATTGTAGTTTTACCTCTTAGTCTCAGCCTACAAATCCGTTCAGATATTCTCTCGAACTCCACTATCGCACTTTGTAATTGATCACTAATTGAAAAACCCGTTCCCAACATTCGGTCTTTCCCACCGGTACTGATAAAGCTGTAGTTGTCTATCATTATTGCACTATACCCTGACCGCTTAAAAGATGAAATCCAAGATCACTCAATGCAAGCATCGACAAGCGGTCAAAACTAGACCTTCTGAGAAACTGTTTACACCCTCATTACTAAAAGTTGGTTGTAGAGTCCACGTGTACGTATATAAATTTGTATTAATTATTGTGCGAGTTAGGTTTATTAACGATTTTATTAATTATGTGTTACGTTTATTACATATGAATGTAAACACTCTTTCACCTCCAAGAAAAAGATCAAAAAAGACATTTAACTGTTGAGGGAAAAGGTGTAATAATGAATACTTATAAAAAAGCATCCCAAGAATTAGCAGAACAGAGAAATATTGTAAAATTCACTGCTGATACTATAGGTAACTATTATCATATCATATATGTCAATCATATCAATCATATATTTAATTAAAAAAATCCTTTGTAATAGGTATATATTTAAGGCCCAAACGGGCTAAGTTAAAAAGACATAACGTTTTCGAAAACCATGTTCCATCATCAGTGTCCTAGAAAATAGTTAACCACTTAATTAAAAAGAACATAGGTTAAAATTTTGACTAAGGTTAATGAAAAATGTGCTTAATACTTACTAGGAGTACATGAATGTAGCCACCAAGATTAAATATATGGGTAAAAACCCGTTAACAGATGTTTAATTACATTTAGTTTTAAAAATACGTTATAATAATTTAAGATTATAGAGTTACCGATGGATTAGGTAACATGGCGACATATGACTCCACGTTGAAGTTGCTAGTCCTGAGACGGTATGTCTTCGAGGACTGTATGAGTGCAACTGATTGGCAATGACATTTGATGACAATATTGTTAAGTTATGACGGAAATTATCACAGAGCAGTCAATGTAGCTGTATGTTTCTACTTAAGACAAAAGCCAACGTTATTTAAAATTGTGAAAATTAAGTAAACTAATATAACAGTATCTTTATGTTATGTTATCTTTAACGTTATGTCTTTTTAACTTAGCCCGTTTGGGCCTTAAATATATACCTATTACAAAGGATTTTAATTAAATTTTTAATACATGGTATACAGCCAACTACAGGAACGTAGATTCCTTGTGAATCATATATTTCTTTGTCAACCTATTCTTGCAAATAAAGATATTCTATTCTATTCAAACGAATCTCATTCCATCAAATTTATAAAGCGAATTTATCTCTTAATTTTATTTATAGTTTACTTTTGACATATTTATATAAACTTTTTTATTTGTCAACCCTATAAAAATTGAAATTTAGAATTTTAATCTTCACGCAAAAGCCAATAAAATGTTTAAATTTAATGTAAATCAATAATCTGTAAAAAACGGTATAAATATATTATAGCGAGAGTGTTAATTCGTTTTGTTGAGCGGTGTAAACGTGGGAAAAGTTATAACTTAGGGAGAGGAATATTTAAGAGTGCGTACCATTCACGTGATCATTCCATCTTTTCAGCTGCTCAACTATAGTTACCTTTTGTTTCGTTTCTTGCGTTACCAGGATATCCACTTTGTATTGTTTTATCTCTAACACTATATGTTTTAGGGCGCCTGCTTCATAAGTACTTCTTATGTCATAGGAATCTATCCTGATTTTACTTAGATGACTCTTCTTTTTCGTTATTTTTCTTGTTTCCCTTATTGATATTCCCTCCATGCCCTCGTTAATTGCCGTAGTTCGATTATCCTTTGATCCATCTCTGCTGATCGTCTCTAGTTTGCTAGTGGGTCTAGCTCCCCTTTTGTTCGGTTCCATCTCTATACTCTGCGCTACTATTATTTTTTCCATGGTCAATTTCAGCACGTCTGGCTCTTCAGCGTCTACATCCAAACCTGTTGCAATCACGTTATCTTTTTTCTTATCTTTCTATGGGTACTTAGGTGTGGTACATAATTCTTGAACTCACTTCTTTGTCTGTTCACTTTCCTTTTTAATAGTTTCATTTTCTAAATTCAGCTTCTGATTTTCTCCTCTTAATTATTTTAACCCTTCTGCATAAACTCTTTGCTCTCTTTTAATATCCTTCACGTCTAAGGCTACTCGTCTTTCATTTCGACTCCACTTCCCTTTTTTTGGCGTTCTATCTCCATTTCTACTTCTCTTAAAGACCACCCTATAACGTTCTTCATCTCCTCTTCGCATTCTTTTGCCCTCATCCATCAGTTCGTCGGATTTCTTCTATAATACTTCTATAATTAAAGAACAAGAAGATTGTACTATTGAAAATCAACCAGTACAAGAAAAAGAAATCGATAAAGATGACAAGTCCATGGTGTATTTTTGATCAATTAATTAGACATGACTCATCTAAACGTACACCTGTATCGAGAGTCCATTACAATGGTGGAAAAACCATCGCCATGTTACTTAACTTAACCACTATATTCATAAAATATTGTAAATGTGAACACATGTTCAAAATCTGGTTTAATTTTAAATAAAAGAAGAACACGGTTAACAAGAAGTAAAGTAGAAAAACTTATGTTTTTAAATGTCAATTTAGACGATTCGCGATTTAATAATAACGTGTAATGTAAATGTATGTACGATTTACTATTTGTATTGTTTAGTTTATTTTTCAAGTAATAATAAATATATCCTTCATTAGTTTCTTTCACTTCAATAAATATACACATAAACGATAATAGCCATTATGTTTGTTTATGTAGGTACTCTCTTACTTGAAACTACTGTTAAACAATCATAGTAACTTGTTTACGAAAATCGGTTTACGATAAAAACGTCAATGATCCACCTCTACTCATTACCTCTGTCTCTACTTTGATTCGGTGCTTTGACCACGCGAGACGTTGCCAAATAATTTGTATGAAACTTTTTTATTGTGGCATCATATGCAGTTTATTATTTTTATTGGAAATAAGGCACAATATGACTTTAAAATAAGCTTATTTTGATGTTAAGGTTTTTAATTCGGAAATCGTACTTAAAATATGAAACATTAATAAATTTTATTTATATAAAACGATTTCCGAAGTGGAAATTAAAATGTTATATTACACTTATTGTAAAGTAAAATTGTGGTATATTCCCAATAAAAAAAACAGTAAGCTGCCATTTAAATTCATTTCGCCCAAATTTGATTATCTTAGAACATTGTTCAAATGCTAAAAAGACAACAGGTCAAATAAATTGAATAAGTTTGGCAACGTTGAATTTCCCCTTTTTTATTATTTCAACTCATCCATTTTCGGCGATATAAAGGGCGGACCTAATATACCTCTCTCTTTTTAAACAGGTGTTTCTCACTCCATCTCACGTAAGGCCCATACCGACCATAAACTTTTACCTATACTGTATATGACTAATGTATTAAAATTAAAAACTTCTCTTATCCGTGACATTAGGTGTCACTTCCGAACTTGCACATAGCTAATACAACTTTGGGTGTACTTATCGGAATGTAATTTTAGCTTTTACAATTTTAAATAAATTGCTTTTGCAATAAAATTGTATGAAATTTACCAAGAAGTGTTCGTAATCGTGGATACTGTTAAACTCCTATAATATTGCAGAAATTAACTGTAGGGTTAAATTGGTGAAGGAGAATTATTGAATAAAATGTAAGGTGAATATGGAATAAAGGTTATTTCATTTGATGACAACACTTTTATTTAGTTTTAATTAAAACATGTTCTGTATATTACTAAGATAAAGTAAACTCTACTTCGTAACATCCTATTAGTTTCTTCTCGTCACTTTTAGGGAAGAATTCAGACCTGATTTTTACTCTACCAGGTGGGAATTCCTTGTATTTGAAAGTACTGAAATCTATCAGATGATTTTTAATTTGGTATCGACCCTAAAATATAAAGTTTTTGTATAGATTTTCCTATATTAATAGATAACATTACTTACCTTAGGGTAAGGACAACTAGATTTTATTCCAGCGCTTTTTTCCATTTCTTTTGCAAATTCGCCCATAAAGTTTTCTACCATAGAGCATACGTCATCGTTTTTACTAATAACATATTTCCATTCGTTCTCGTCAAATGAATAAATCGTTACTGTATTCTACAGGAAAAAATCATAAATTAATTTGAAATCGCAATTTGAACTAAAACTATCCATAATTTTTTTACTATTTTACTCACTAAAACTATGTTACCGATACAATATATTTCTAGACAGTGTTGTAACACTGTACCTATGTTTTGATATTAACCAAATATTGTAAAACAAATAACAAGGTCAAAGAATGTGCTGTTTACGGTTAAAGGGGAAATTCTTTAACTAGAGTTTGATCAACGCGCATGCCCCGACTGATAGCAAGCCAGAAGACATAAAAGAACAGTTCTTCGAAGACCTAGAACAAGCCTACAGAAGATGTCCCAGAAATCACACTAAGATTTGGTGTGGTAAAAAGACTAAGTGCTAGGTGGCATGAATGCAAGAGTAGGATAAGTCCTCTTGAATTTAAAGACGCAGTTAAAGAACTAGCCCGAAACAAATCACTCGGAATAGATAATCTCCCAGTGTCGCTATATAAAAGAATTATGCTCCTAAATGCAGATTATAAAATATTCTCCACTTTACTATGCCAGCGTATAGCACCATATGTAGAACACTATTGCAGAGATAAACCGTAGATTTTGTAAGGTCAAAACTGCTATTTTGAGCTCAATTTCGTTTTAAATACTCAATTATATCGAGAAAGACAAAGGTAAAACTTTACAAATCAATAATACGTCCTAACATTTGGTTCGGAGACCTAGACTCTATAGAGTTATCTCATCAAACTCTAGAATACCATGAAACTTAGGTTTTTCATATCAGATGAGATGCTATAGACTGACTTAAAGTAAAGACAACAGCATTAGAAACTCCATCAGAACCAGTATACATATTGTTGTCTAACTTAATTTTCAACTTGGGAGGTTTTAGCATATTTAAAACGCCACGCTTGCCGAGCGGGTTGGCGAGTGATTCTATACAATCTCTAAAATCAGGGGATTGCCACTTCCGCCGTCCACGCCGTACTGAAGGTATTCTTCTCCGCCGTGTCTGCCGTTGTAGACTTCATCCGTGACCTTGGACAAGGGACCCTAAGCAGGTACTAGTTTCCCGGGTCAGGAAACCCCTGAAATCTACGGAGGGCAGGGATTGATTCATTTTCCCTGATAGGACTATCCAGAGGAGTTCCTACCCGTTACCCGTACAATTAAATGCAGTTTCAGGACCGGTAGGCTTAAAAATGAATTACAGCAAAACAAAAATACTAAGCCAAGACCAGACAAATATATAAGAATACAAAATCATACCATAGAAAATGTGGAACATTATGTATATCTAGGTCATGTTATCAAACTAGGAAAACCAAATCAAGATGGTGAAATTAAAAGAAGAACACAACTGGCTTGGGGCGCTTTCGGCAAACTAGCACATATCTTGAAAAACACCTCCATTCCTATAAACTTAAAGAAAAAGGTGTATAACACATGCATACTACCTGTTTGTACCTACGGCTTGGAGACAGTAGCACTTACCAAAAAATCTGCCAAAAACTTAGAAACAACGCAAAGAGCAATGGAACGAATCATGCTTGTAATATCACTAAGAGACAAGATTAGAAACACCGAGATAAGACGTAGAACGAAGATTAGGGATATTGTGAAAGAAATTACAAAAATGAAATGGCGCTGGGCAGGTCACGTAGCCCGATATAATGACAACAGGTGGACACGGAGAATTCTAAAATGGAGACCAAGGACGACAACAAGAAGCATGGGAAGACCTCAAAAAAGATGGGTAGATGACATAAGAGCAGTGGCAGGCAAACAGTGGATTAGATTGGCGCAAGATAGAGAAAGATGGAAGCAATTGGGAGAGACCTACATTCATGAGTGGATGGAAAATGGTTGACAAAGAAGAAGAAGAACTTAATTTTTGATGGTAAACTCCTGGAACTACTTCTGGATTTCACAAATGACCAAAAACTAGTTGGGTCCATGTTAACATTTGTTTCAGTGTCATGATATTTTATATACTCAGATTGTGTTTGTATTTTGCCAAATATTTGCATTATGAAATTATTTTTATAGTATTTTGTATATGATCTAGTTTTACCGGAAGGTAAATAAACTCATAAATAAATTAAAATATAGATATCCATTACAAATATATGGGTAAAATTAGAATGTTAAGATTAAGTGAAATTACAAATTAATTTTAATTGGTGATTAAAGAGACGGCATTGATGAACCGGGAGGAAGTGATTTGTGTGTGTTGTTTGATAGAACGATTTCAATGAAACTGAGAGCAAAATTCTATAAAACTGCCATAACATCAGCTGTGGACGGATGTGAATGTTGAGTAGTTTAAAAGAAAGAGAAATAACGAATGGGTGTGGCGAAAATTATAAAAAGGGATGGAATTAGAATAATTACCAAAAGATCATCATTAAAATCGACTTTGGTATCCATAAATCCATCTTCTACAAATTGTTTGTCGCCGTCGTTTTTTATCTTCATACCAAACATTATCGGACGTTCTTCATTGTCACATTGTGAAATGTCATTTATTTTGACATTAACTGCATCACAGATCTGAAAAATAAATGAGTTAATAATGTTAATGGAAAATAAATAAGCTAATAAAATATTATTTTTCACGTATTCGCATCTTCTCCCAGTCTTTTAACTACAAATATATTTAGAATCTACAAAACAGTTATTAGGCCAGTAGTCACATATGAATGAGAAATGTGGATTCTCCAAGCATTGATGAAAATTTAACTGAGAATCTGTGTACGCAAAATACTAAGAAAGATATTTGGATCAACACATTATATAATAAAGCACCTGGACCAGATTAGATCCCTGCTGAGCTACTTAAACTTTTGGACGAGGAAAACATTACCTAACTAACCACCTTCTTTAACAAAATTTACAACGAAGGAATAATACCAGATGGTTGGTTGGAGTCATTGTTCATAACATTACCAAAGAAAAGCAGGCCTACCAAATGCAGCGATTTTAGACTAATCAGTTTGATGAGCGACACACTGAAGATAGTCTTACGAATTATACAAAAACGAGTATTCTTCTGTGCAAAGTAGATGGGTAAGCAGTTGGATTAAATAGTCTAGGAACTAGGGAGGCGCTATTTTGTATGCGCGTTTTCTTACAAAAAAACTGTGAGTTCCGAAAGAACATTTGTTTGTTTCATCGACTTCGAGAAGGCTTTCGACTGAGTACAACACGATACGCTTTTCAATTGCCTGCAGACAGCATGACTTGAGACCACTATGATATAAGACTGCTAAAATACTTATATTACAATCAAGTCAGCCTCTATCCAAATTGGAGATAGTCGTACTGAAAACCTACCCATCAAACATGGAGTACGACAGAGTTGTGTTTTGTCACCCAGTATTTTTATCTGTACTATGAAGAAATCTTTAGGAAGGCTTTGGATGATAGGCAAAACGGAGTAAGACTAGGCGGAGAAGTAATCAACAATATCAGATAGGTTGACGATACAGTCGTTCTTGCAGAAAATTTACAATATCTCCAAACATTAGTAAATCTAGTCAGTGAAGCAAATTATCGGAGAGGCTTTAAAATTAGCATTTCAAAGACAAAGTGGATGGCGGTTGGAAAGATTAATATAGATCAAGGTGTGCTTTCGCTTAAAGGAGAGGGGATAGAACGCGTAAACCATGTTAAATACCTGGGCAGTGGTTAAATGTAAATTGTGGCTCTGATGAAGAGATAATAACCAGGATAGAAATATCACGTAAGGCTTTTATGACCTGGAAACCAGTTTTATGTAACAGAATCCTGTCAATACATATTCGCAAGTAGGTCCTGAAATGTTATGTGTGGTCTATCCCATTATATTTTTGTGAGACATGGACATTGAAAAACCACAATGCTTAACAAATTAGAAGCATTCGAATTGTGGTGCTATCGACGGATCCTAAAAATATCATGGATTTCGCACACTTCCAATGAAGATATTCTTAAAATTATGAATTTAGAACGCTTGCTCACAAATATCATAAAGACAAGAAGGACAGAATACTTCGGCCATATAATTAGGGACCGAAATACCATTTACTTGTGGTAAATGGTACCTTTCTTTTTCTTCCCGTTTCGATGGCGTATCGTGAGTGTCAAACCACGTTTCATCTAAATAAATAATAGTTGGATTCTCTCGATGATATTGTTTAATTTTGTTTAAATATTCCGTTCGCCATATCCGTAAACGATAGGATTCCATAAGTACCTGTTTTATCTACTTTTTTGTATTTAAGCCTTATACGTTGCAAACACTTTCAAAAAGTTGTTCTACCGTACTTAATTTCAGTATTGTCGACGTGAAGCCTGTCAACTAATATATCTAGTGTGGGTACAATTTGTTCTTCATACAAGGCATACAAGGCATACGTCTTGTTAATCTTTTTATAATAGAATTACAATTTTTCTGACTGTGGATAATGGCTTTTTAGTCAAAGTTGCCGTTTCATATAAGGCTTCGTTACTGTCCATGTTTTTTTCTACAAGAGTTTGAAAAACATTGGCAATAATTTGTTTTGCATCAGTAGATAAATGTATTTGTTGGCGATGTTCAGATTCTAATACTTGAATGAGATCAGCTCCTTGTCGATTTGGTTCCGGTTAATCAACTGGCGAAATCGCCCTATTATGTACACAGTATAACAGTACACATGCAGACCGTCTCTCCTGTATAATCTTCAATCTGGCTCTGAAAAAAGTAATACGTGTGTCACAAATCACAACCATTGATTTAATATATAATAAATCAGTGCAACTCTTTGCATATTCTGATGATATCAATATTGTTGGGAGAACAGAAAACGCTGTACAAGAGTCGTATGTAGCATTAAAAGAATCAGCTACAAAAATGGGTTTAACAATAAACACCAAAAAAACGAAGTATATGAAAATAAGCACGCAACCACAAATCCTACGACCACTTGTTATAGAAAACGACGTCATCGAAGCAGTGAATGAATTAGTATACCTGGGAGCGCTCCTTAACACTGAAAATAATACTACCGCAGAATTTGCGCGGTCAACATATGCTATTTTGGACTCAATATCCTCCTAACATATGCTTCAGAGACCTGGACTCTAACAAAAAGTAATTAAAACATGTTAGTATGTTTCGAAAGGAAAGTACTGAGGCGAATCTATGGAGCAGTAGATGACAATGGAGTGTGGAGAAGACGATACAACTTCGAACTTTATAGAATATACCAGAAACCAGATATCGTAAAACATAGTAAGTAGACTCTGAGGTGATAGGCATGTAAGCGATAGAACAAAATGACCCAGCTAGAAAAACCCTTCTTGATAGAATTATTGGTCAGAGAACAAGAGGAAGATCCAGAACAAGCTTCCTTGATAACATCGATGAAGACATGAGAAATATTTTAATACGTACTTGGCGAAGGAAGGCCATGTATAGGGACAACAGAATGATGATTACATAGTAAATGAGATATTTTTGCTACTTCTAAAAAGTTCCCGTTTCCGTTTAGTCCCAAGAATAATTTAATATACTATTGAAATTTCCTCTACATCCACCACCTTAAACTGTTTGTTTATATTTCTACATTTTGAAGCTAAGCTTCTATGCTGGCGTTGTATTTCTTTTTCTCTATAGTAAAATGCTGAGGCGAGCGCTATGGAATAGCGCCACGACACGGCGTCACGGAAGTAGCACCACGACACGGCGTCACGGAAATAGCGGTTCGTGATTCACAGTCACAGTAAACAGTTGGAAAAGTATATTTACGCGATGAGAGGAGTCCGTTATAGAACATATAATTTTTTTTAATTTATTAAAATCTATAAAAAAATTATAAATAAATAATAAAATTACTTTATTCAATTTTAAAAATACAGAGTCTTCGCGCTAGTCTACAGTACTCCCCACTGTACTTTTTTTTAATGTTCAGTATATATTTAGGTGAAATATTATCTTCATTTAAAAGTCATTTTCGCGTTTGATTGATTTGTACAAAGGTTATACGTAAGTATATGTTTATTGTAGGAATTATTTGATTAAACATTGCTCATCTTTATATTAACAAAAATCAATAAAGCACTATTTTATGATTTAAAATTATTAATATAGATTAAAGTATTTGTATAACAAAATAAAACGTATATTGCTCTTATTAATATATACTTACAGTTGCTACACAAACCACTAAAAAGTACCTAATTATTGGAATCATTTCAGAACTAAATCGCAACTAAATCACTTTATGTACAAATCGTTTTTTATACTAGTCTATTATGTTGATCTGTTACGCTGATACCAAAACTAATTTTACATATTATTGTTAGGATTTAAATTAAAAATTATTTTATTCTGAAGAGCTGTCATTATTATTATTATCGGAAAAACAATTACAGTTTGCAATTATATGCACCAGTTGGTACTTAACTGAGAATATCCTTTTTGGTACAAATTAACTGTTTCGTTTGATTGAATTTCAAAATATTTTGTATTAATATTTTTTAAATATACATCAAATTTAGATAAAAAATATAATTTGAAATCGTTTCATGTGTGTCCATTTGGGAGGAACTTGCTCTTTTATATTATAAAGCACTCATTTGCACTATAGCTACTTTCATTTAATTTTGGTTATTCTTTATTTTCCATATTTTCTGTGATCCGTGTCTCATATTTGTACATTGGATGTGAACTACTGCAAGTTAAGAAGTGGCAGTCCTTTATGTGGTAGGAATTCAGTTGTCCGTTGTAATTTGTGTTGAAACTGTTGGCTGATCGGTTGGGTTATTGAACTTTAATTTAGTTGATTTACGAGGTTATTGTCCTGTAATTTATCCATCCCCTGAGGAAGTTTTGTAACGGATGAATAAAACTGAGTGTACTGCTTCTATTCTTTGGTCAGTAGTATCTTCTGCTGTGGCGGGAGTCAGCTCTTCTGTTTCTCTTTTCAGTTTTCGTAGTTAGAGGTAACCAATAATTATAAGAATTGCGACCAGGATATATATATTGGTGGTACCCATATGTAGCCTTGATCATTTTTGTTGGGTGGTTCGACTGGAATATTTCTGTCTTTTACATTAGCTTGTGTAGTTCGTCTAAAGGAATTCTTTCCCATTTTAAAGGTTTGACTATTAGGTTAGGTTTAGGTAATTCTTTGGAATTCTTCGGAAATCGTTCTCAAAATACAAACAGTAAATTAAACAAATTTTGTTTTTTTTTTTACTTTTACTGTTTGTATTTTGAGAACGATTTCCGAAGTGGAAATTGAAACGTCAATAAACGTATTTTAATCTTTAAATTGTGGCTTATTCCCAGTTAAATAGTAATTAATTTAAAATGCCACAAGAAAATAGCTTTAGAACAATAATAACTACGGTGTTCTACTAACAAAGCAAGTAGCGATAATGACTTTCAATGTCTATTATACTAAGTAATAACAGGACGACTATGGGCTTAAATTAAACATCAAGTAAACTAAATAAGTGTTACTATCTAAACATCATGTTATTGATGGCGGCATACCAGTTAACGGTCAGCCACTTCAAAGAATTATCAACATCATTTACCTGGGCTGCAACATAAGTGGTGCAACATCTTAAGAGTTTAGTAGTCGCATTCGCATTGCACAAGCAAGAACAGCATCCTTTAAGTACACGAAAATTTCGAGAAACTTTCGAGATGTAGTGTTACAAGAGAATATTAGGCATCAGTTGGATGGAGAGAGTACGTAATGAAATCTTGTTAATTATAATGAAGAAAGATAAAGAAATCGTAAAAACCATTAAAACCATAAAATGAATCTAGTACAACAAGGAAAAATATTCGCAAGAAGACCTGCAGGAACAAAATAATATTTTAGTTTAAAACCTGTTTCAGTGGTATGCACAAAAAACTAAATCTCACATCTGGATGATAAAATGATTATTACTATTTTAATGAGAATAAGCCTCAATTGAAGTTTAAAGTAAGTTTATTGACTTTTCACTTTCCACTTCGGAAATCGTTCTCAAAATACAAACATTATTCCCATTATAATAGTAATTGCTTTAAGATGCTACAAGAAAATAGCATTAGAATAATACGATTGACGTTCTAAATATTCCTTAATGCTTATAACTTCTCTCTTTCCTGACATCTTATATGATTACATTAATTTTGTTCATTATTAGTTCGATATTGAGAATATTTTAGGTGGTTTGTCTTAGACTTTGATTGTAATTAAAGTTTTCTGTGAAAATATCTTAAATAGCTTCCAAGCCCATCAATCATCATCATCATTTGGCTCTACAACTCTATGTGAGTCTTGGCCGCGTTTACTATTTTCCTCCATTGTTGTCGGTTCTGAGCAGCTATTTCCCATTGTTATATTCCCATTTTGTGTAGATCGTACCAGCTTTCCAGGTACTTCCATTTCTACCATGGTCTCCCACAATGCTTCTCTGCTAACAGAATCGTAAGCTTGTTTAAAATCCACAGAGATTTGGTTGTACATCGCGATTGTATTCCCAGTTATTTTCCAACACCTGGCGTAGGACGAATATCTGGTCTATGGTCGATCTTCCCGGTCTGAATCATCTTTGGTAGTCGCCTATTATTTCCTCTGCGTATGGAGTTAGTCTTCTGAACAGTATTATGGATATAACTTTGTACGTTGTATTGGATTAAACGATATTCCCCTATAGTTCCGACATATTTGTTTGTCTCTCTTTTTGTGGATAGGTATTATATGGCTTTCATGCCAGTGTTTCGGTATTTTTTCTCTTTCCCAGACTTCTTATAAAATGATATATCTCAAGGTTATGGGCAAGCCCATTCGTTAGTCGTCATAAGATTAGCTTGTTTATCACATTTGCTTTATTGCGCACCAAAAGTACTAGAATAGCATATAGTAACTTTTTAGCGATCTATATTTAATATACAATGACTTTTTAGAAGCTATCTTTTACAATCTATGTATTGAAATGAAAAAAAAAGAAAGGTGATGATATTGATTAACTAAAAACCTTATTGTAGATATGGACTATCCTCAATTAGTTTATTTGAGAAATAGACTTTGGACATCTGTATTTAATTTATTGAGCACACTAGTGGAATATGGTGGAGAATCAGAGGGAAACTTGACCAATAGATCCGTAGAGGTTGTTAATACATTTTCCGGAACAATAACCGAATTGGGAAACGAACCATTCTTTGAAGCTATATGCGAGTCAATTAGCAATTTAGGATCACACGGTAAGATCTTTATTAATTTCGAAATTTAGTCCATATTGTAAAAGAAAAACATGTAGTAAATAAATAAGTAAATATTTTGTTTTTGTTTGTTAAATATTTACTTTTCAAATTTCTTTAAATTCTTAGTTAAACGTGGTTTCAGTTAAATTGGCTGAAACTTTGCAGAAAAGTAGCTTTGGGCATGCTGATCAAAAGTTCTCATTGATCCAAAACTCAGAAATCAGTTGCTTTTGGATTACAAAGGTTTAAAGTGTCGGTTTTTAGCTCATTTGAATAATACATATTTGTATAATATTCAGGGTATTAGTCAATAAGTGCAACAGACTTCAAGGAGTGGTTCTGCATGAAAAAATCATGATGATTATTTGCTATATAAATGTATGTCCGCAAATGCTTCGTTTTCAGAGATACTGAGTGTTAAAATTTTTATTACACACTAAAGATTTATTTATTGCCCTGAAACTGTTTGAGATATGCAAATCAAATTTGGCGGGTTTTAACAGTTGGTTTAATTTATTTAAAAAAAAATGGTATGCTACTGAGAGATTTCTAATTAAAAATCATCTTTGAATGCGTTTGATTTGTGACAAAAATCTTGGTTTTTTTTTCATATGAAGGGCCGTTTTTATGCAAAAAAAATAAAACTCTTAACGCGTGTTTTTCATTTCTTTAATACATTCTTAAGAACTATCTAAAACAATAACATTAAACCAGAAACAGAAAGTACCACAAATACGTGAACAGGAAGACGAGGACATTTTGAACCTCCGACAATTGATTTCTGAGTATTGGGGCAATGAGAACTTTTAATCAGCATGACCAAGGCTAATTGTCGACAAAGTTTCGGCCAATTTAACTGAAACCACTTAACTGAAGTGCAGGGATCCTTTACACAATTAGTACATTATAAATTTCTCCCTTTACGATGTTTCTGATATGATCTAGTTAGTGTCTACAATCTTAATTTTTATTTAATTTTCTCATGCTTTTCATCATTCGTATAAACTTTTTTGGCAATTTTTGAATTGGACATTTTCAATAATTTTTATTTGGCCTTTTCGTGAATATATTCCACCTTTTTAATTTTTGAATTTTTCTGAATATATTTTTAGTTTTTTTGTTAACATTTTTGTACAAATTCTATATTCATCCATTCCCACAAATGCGAAGGCTCTGTTTCCTTGTGAAATATTTTATCTCAGAAGATACCACCATTTCAGTGCATTTTTTTTATATTGGAGATGGTCTTTACATTATCATGGGCTATAATATTTTCCCACACTTGATGCCATCAGCACCATGATCATCAAGATTTAGGCAACACATTACCAATGCAGCCACAGTGCAGTATTATCCTTCACCCGTTTACATTTTTCAGTACAGGTCGGTATCCATACTGTAGGGACCGCCCTGTCAGCCAGTGTACTGTTGCCCATATCTTATCACTAGGAGGCACGTACTTTGAGATACTAATGGAGTAATCTTGTTAAATATAATAATATAATTATTACTGTTCTAGTATGTAATGATATTTGTATTTTTTAGATCTTCAAAATTCTGCTTTAAATATGTTAACTGGCGTGCTACGTGTAGAAGCCTATAGAAACTTTGAATATTCGTCTTTAATTACAGAGAAAAAAGTTGAACCGTCGATCCAATCATTGTTAGATTCTGTGAAAACATCAAGAACTGTTTTAATAACCAACAACGATAGTGCCAGACTTCCTAAAAATTCCAAGAAATTAGCACAAGATCACAAACTAAACCTTTTAGAGGAGGTGTACTATGAAAAAGTTATTGCAAAACCACAAATTGATTTGAATGATCAAATTGAAGTTAGTATAATTGAAAACGATGACCAAAGTTTGATGTCCGGTGCTGAAATATGCAAAATATTATTGTATCTTTACGATATTTGTAACTTTGAAAATACCGAAGTCTTTAGTAAGAAGAAAGCAATAGTTACAAAGGCCTTGTCTACTTTATTGTGCGTGT